ATAATCGCTCTCAGCTCGTCGCCGTACTTCGCGCGCTTCTTCTTATCCTTCTGTTTATTGCAGTAACCCTGATCGACCCGACGCGCTCTCCGCCGCCTCGCCCTCAAGATCGCGCACGCCCTGCAATTCAACCTCGATGAGGCTCGGCATGATGTCCCACGCCTGTCTGATGTCCAGCTCGGTCCTCCCGTACTCGAAATCCCTTCATAATCGACCCCCCACTGAAAATCCGGATCCCCCCTTCAACGGCTACCTAATTTTCTGGACCCCCTTGTCAACAGGGGGCCTTCATATTCCGGGCCCTCGTCTTCGGTTCAAACAAAAAGCCCAAATAAACCGGACCCTCCCGCCCTAATAAACCACACCCTCCCGCTTCCAAAAAAGACGCCTCAAAAACCGAACCCGGGGAACGATTTTGAGACCATTTCGAGTAGACCACCTGCTTGTCCAGGCCAGCCGAGTCGATCGGGTATCGCGAGCAACTCAAGGGGTGTCTCCTTGGGAAAGGCCTGATGCTCGCATAGCTGACAGGTCCAGGTTGGCCTGTCTTCGGTCACGAGTTCCATATCGTATGCGGCCTGTGGATCTCAGCACCGGAGTCTTCCAACGTCTCGGGTGGCCAAGTGGACGCCCGCCGCGGCGCAGTCCAGCATCTTGTTCGGCACGTTGTCCACGCGTTTGGGCTCGTCAGGGGCCGCTGGCTTCTGCTTTGAGGCCGTCCCGGCACGGCCTTGCAGTCCAGGCTCGTCCGCACGCGCGCCACCTCCGGCGCCTGCAGCTCCGGCAGCACTGCCTGCAGCGTTGGCGGCCGCGGCTCTCCGCGGCCGCCCGGGGCAGGCGACGCAGTGGGCGCTCGAACCAGCAGCCGCAGGGCGACCGCGGCGTGCGCGGTGCTAGCGGGGCAGGCGACTGCAAGGAGAGGTCACGCAGCTGGATCGTGAGCGCCGTGGCCTCGGGCTGGTGCGCTCCCTGCTGGGTCGCTGCGACGTTCTGGACTTAGCTGCCTCGATACGCCCGTTTTGATACGCAGCACGTGCCGTGCTGAAAACGTCCGTGTCGATACGTTGCGTGTTGACTCAACGTATTTGCCCACGTTCAGGCGAACGCATCGCGTCAGACCTACGTTTACAGTCTACGTGTTGAGCTCCGCGTCAACGCTCTACGTGTTTCGTGTTGCGTATCGGGGCAGCCAAGTTTCTGGGTATTGGCCAGCGGCTGCCTCCTGGCCTCCACCAGGTCGCGCCGGGACATGCGCGCGCCGCTCGGCCATGCTGGAGACGCGCCGGCGTGGCCTGCAGCTGCGCAGGAATGGGTCTCGGTGCGTGGGGCGCGCAGGGTGAATTTCTCCATCGCAGATTTAAACTTCGGGTGAGCTCGGGATGCGGAGCCTCCGAGCGGAGCCTCCGAGCGGGCTCTGTGGCGAGGGTCGGCGTCATCGTCGCGACAGGAGGAGGAGGAGGAGGAGGAGGAGGAGGAGGAGGAGGAGGAGGAGGAGGAAGGAGGAGGAGGAGGAGGAGGAGGAGGAGGAGGAGGAGGAGGAGGGGGGAGGAGGAGGAGGAGGAGGAGGAGGAGGAGGAGGAGGGGGGAGGAGGAGGAGGAGGAGGAGGAGGAGGAGGAGGAGGAGAAGGGGTTGGAGGAGGAGGAGGAGAGGAAGAGGAGGAGGAGGAGGGAGGAGGAGAAGGGGGTTGGAGGAGGAGGAGGAGGAGGGAGGGAGGAGGAGGAGGAGGAGGAGGAGGAGGAGGAGGAGGAGGAGGGGGGCGAGGAGGAGGAGGGGGGGGAGGAGGAGGAGGAGGAGGAGGAGGAGGAGGAGGAGGAGGTCGGAGGAGGAGGTTGGAGGAGGAGGGGAGGAAGGAGGAGGAGGAGGAGGAGGAGAGGAGGAGGAGGAGGGAGGAGGAGGAGGAGGAGGAGGGGTGGAGGAGTGGGAGGAGGAGGAGGAGGAGGAGGAGGAGGAGGAGGAGAAGGAGGAGGAGGAGGAGGAGGAGGAGAGGGAGGAGGAGGTTGGAGGAGGAATCACCGAGCGCATCCTCTGCAGCTCGCCCAAGTCGTGGCATCGCTCGGACGTGTGCGCTTGTCTCGGCGAGGCCAGTGCCAGAGCATGTTGGGCCCTCTGGAGAGAAGGGCACGCACGGAGCCAGACAGTGCACGGGGAATCAACGTCCGAGCGATGGCAAGAAATGGTCCTTGGCCTCCGCGTCTGTGCCCCCGCACCTGCTGAAAGTGGAGATGGCCCTCGACAGACCTGCGGCGCTTCCGAGCGGCAGGTTCGCCGAGCGTCTCGCCCACAGCGCTCGCACTCGCGTCGGCATGCCCAGGCCGATCGTGTCCTTTCTCCTTCTCCTTGGACTGGGCCACAGCATCCGCCCTGAGCCTCGGGACCGCTGCCTCCACCGCCTTGAGCTTCGGGGTATCCTGAGACTTGCCACCGCTGCCATTGCCTGCTGATTTGCATTGTGTGTTGTTGCGGGACGTGTTGGGCCTGCAATGTTCTGGCGTCGGTGTCAGTGCAGCTCGCCTGGCTACGTGCCGGGCGAGCGATGACTACACCAGAAACGTTTATACGCGTTACATGCCAGGCGAGCGACGACTACACCAGAAACGTTCACGCGTGGCCGACGCAGGGAAACGCGGGTCCGCGTGCAGTTTTAGGACTTGATTCCGCGGGGCCGCCATGGGGCAGTGGGGCGATGTAGGCTTGAGGAGTTCCTTGAAACCCGCGCCTTTCCAGAGCCCACTGGTTCCCCAGCACCAGGTCGCGTCTGCAGCGTGCCGCCACGGCCTGCCCGCCAGCTGGCTGGCACGCAACGAGCGCGCACCCGGCGCTCGGCCTTCTACACGTGCATTCCTTCGTGCCCATGGCAAAATCTTCGCAGCGCGCAGCTCCGGAGGCCGAGAAGGACAGCTACACTGGGCGATGACGTCTTTGACGACGACGACGACCCAGGACAGTTACCCTGGGCCGGCCTCGGCCCACCCAGGGGAATGGCGATTGCACGAGCAGCGCACGGCCTACCTCAGGAGAATTCACAAATGCTGCCACGGGTCAGCCGCATCCGGTGCTGCCGTGTGGCTGCTTGCCCTCAAGAGCACGAGTGACTAGCCAGACCGCTTACGGAGGAAGGGGAGAGGAATAGTAGGGCAGGAAGAGGATGACGAGGAGGAGGAGGAGCAGGAGTGGAAACGGAAGTGGAACGGGGAAGGAACGATGAGGAACGATTTCAAGTCAAGTGGAAGGGGTCGTCTTCTAATGAGTAGATTCTATATTGGACGGTTCCATGACAACACAGTGAGGTTACAGTGGGCACGAGTTGACCCTGTTAGAGTCATAACGGCCACTACCCTGGAGAGGTCATGCAACTCTCGCGCGCGGTCCGTCTTTCCACGCCCCATTATTTCAATGTTCGCGCCGGGCGCCGTGCGATCCGATTTCTCCGCCGTCGGCCGCGGATAATTCAATTTTTGACATCGGGGGCCCTGGGGGGACAGAAAACAAAAACAAATCCCCCAGCTGAGCACCCCAATAGCAGCAAAGGTGAAGAGGCGGATCGAGGAGCAGGGAGTCGGCTAGTGAGAACGCGCATTCCCAGGTAGGCATTCCAAAGAAAGGTACAGCCGGGACAGGGGTGAGAGTACGGTCATGTGCACCTTACAGTCGGGGCCCTGAAGAAGGAACCCTTTCGTTGGGGAGGGGCTCCGCGTTCCTTAAGTGTTCCACAATTTGTCTTATGTCTTCCTTATGTTTTCGATCGGACATCGAAGTTTAACTGATGGGAAAAAGGGGCCTCGTTCCTTATTGAGGGTTCCTTAGGTCAAGGCCCCGACTGTAGCAGTTTTAGGCAAGGGATCGTGGCCGTCCAGACCAAACATGTGACTGGCACTGTGGCAAGAGCACAATTCCCGAATATGTTGTTGAGAAGCCTCGGGCGAAACAGCTGACGGACAGGCTGCAAGGCCGAGCGGACTGGGGCTTCCCGTCGCCCTTGCGTGGCTCTTCTGTGGTCTTTTTTCTACCACTGTGAGGGCCCCCCGGCGCGAACGCTATTCGAAATGTTGCATCGCTTCTCTAGGGGGGTGCAGTGTAGTTCGAACGGTGTGCACCTGCTGGCCTTGCCCAACTGCTGCACGGATGTATAGGGCCCGCATCGGCCCCAGCCTCCTTTCGCTCCCAGCCCTGCCAGTCGAAGGCTGCCCGAGACAGGACTGCTGCCGTGCCATGGCCAGGATCAGCAACGTGGAGGAGGAGGAGGAGGAGGAGGAGGAGAAGGAGGAGGAGGAACGACAGGGAGTAGGGAGCAGGAAGTAGGAAGCAGGGACCTTCTCCAACCGAATCACAAGTACCTCCCAGCCCTCCGCCACCACAGGAGTTGGAGGCTGCAAGGGACACGCACACCACCACCACGGCTTGCACGAGCGTCCAAACCCGTGTAGGAAACCCGCGCACTGCAGTCGGCCCTGGCCAGTAGGTCGACCCTGCCAAATCGAGGGTGCCCTCGTGCCCTGCCTCTCGCGACCAAGGCCTCCTGCATTCATTTGGCCACGTGGCCCTCGGACGCGTCTCGTGCCTTCGCCCGTGGCCTGTCCAACCGAGGCCGTCAGCAGCGGGCCGCACGCACGCACCCCGCGCAGCTTCCGCGTCGGAGGGAAGCGCAACACCTCACCGCCTCGCCTCCAGGAAGGCAAGGAGCGAGGCTACCTCGATCACGGGGGCTCTCCAATTCTTCGCGCGTGCCGTGCCCAATTCTTCGCGCGACGACCCTTTCCATGCCCGATGCTTCGCGCGTGCCGTGCCCCGCACCGAGAAGCCATGCGCCCGCCCTGCGGCGACGCTGCCCCCGCCCGAGCACGGCGAGCTTCTGGAAGACGCGGCACGGAGCAGCTTGTGGAGCCTTCCCGCAAGGATCCTCACGCGACCCCGAGGTCGAAAACCAGTCCTCTGCCACTTGGTTCTGCCCACGTGCAGCGGAGGGTCATTCTGTAACACACCAGCCTCAGCGCCAGCAACACTTGATGCTCAGAACCGGACGCGCGCTGACCACTTGCGCCGCGGGGAACCCCCACCCAGGGTGCGCAGCTGACGCCCAAGCCTCAGCTGGAGCAAAAGCCCACGCAGAGGAGATAGTCGAAGCCCTAGCCGCCTCCGCGGGGGGGGTCTGCGCACTCCCGCCCCCCCGCCCGGCGACCAGAAGATTGCGAGGACGTTCTGTTAACAGCGGCGTCAGGAGAGCCCTGTCAGAGCCGTCATAAACCAAACCCTCCATTTGCGCAGCGGGGGGCGCCCCGAACGGGGTTGGGGTTAGCCGCGTCCATGGCCCCCACCCCCCACCCTAGAGAGGGGGGGTGAACCGCGGCGAGAAGTGTGAGCCCCAAGGGGAAGAGAGGAAGGAGATGGGGAGGAGGGAAGGAGAAGAGGAAGAGAGGAATGAGTCGCGCACACTTGCTGCGGCTTTCGGTGGCGCCGGTCACACTCCAGAAAAGCGAAGCATACACAATATCTAGGCCGACACGGCTTGCTAAGCGATGCAAGCACCCCCGAGGTTCCGTCCATTCAGTGGGACATGCGGGCGCCATGAGACTGGGACAAGCAGCCCGTTCATGGAGAACCCAGCTTTTTGAACCCCTCATGATCACCACCCTCCGCATGCTCGCTTGCCATCCGTCTCATGATCCTTCTCGCGCCCATTCCTGTCACGAAGTTGGATACACATGACGTGGCTGGCCCAGACGAGACCGGAGCATTGCATGCACATTGTGCCATACGTCTTTGCAGCACTCACCTCTCTTGTTGGCGGGGGCGGCAACCCTCCGCATGAAGATTCCAGCGGGCGGCCTTCGAATATTCCGCATGTGAATTCAGCGAGTGTGTGCATGTGTGTGCGCGCGCCTGTGTAATCAACATCTTACACTCAACATACATAGTAAGTATGAGCAACTTTCCAAGGCTACCCTTGCATCCTTGCCCCTTGGGCTCATTCTTAGCGACTTTTACTGGCCAACCTCGTTCGAAAAGCGTCAACCAGGCCCTCAAAGGCTCTCGCATCCTTACCGCGCATCCTTATGATACGAGTTGATTGTAGGCGTGTCCCGCTATAGCACTCGTTGCGTTGGATCAACCAGCCGGGAGGCAACAAGCATATGCGTTATGTGTTGTGTGAATGTGTTGTGAGTGTTGTGGGTTGCGTGTGTGTGTGTGTGTGTGCTAGTGTTTCTGTGTGTTTCTCCGCTTGTCGCTGCACGCGAGGTTGCGACCGCGAAAAAGTGTGTACGTGCGTGTATGTATGTGCACGTGTGTGGTTGTGCTTGTGGTTGTGTATGTGTGGTGCGTGGTGCGTGGTGTGTGGTGCATGTGTGTGCGCGTGTGTGTGCGTGTGGTTGACTGTGTGGTACGTGGTGCGTGGTGTGCGGTGCATGTTTGTGTGGAGTGTGTGTGTGTGTGTGCGTATGTGCGTCTGTGAGAGAGAGAGATATTGTATGTGTGTGTTGTGTGTTGTGTGTATGCGTTTGTGTATGTGTACGTGTGTGTGTGTTTGTGCGTGCGTGCGTGCGTGCGTGCGTGCGTGCGTGCGTGCGTGCGTGTGTTTCTGTGTGTGCGCGCGTGCTATCCTAACCCTCCATTCCTCTTCCTTCCTCCTCATCGCCCTGTCCCGACCAAGCGAAGATAAGATGGCGGTGGCAGGACGCATCCTCGCGACTGCCCCTCCATCTCCCTGGGCTGCGTGTGGGACGGGAAGATCAGGCGCCTCAGCCCTCCTCGTTTGGGGGCAGGCAGGCGTGCCGAAGCAGGAGCAAGAGGTATGGGAGGGAGAAGGGGGGGGGCAGGGACAGGGGCAGCAAGGAAGGGCGAGGGGGGCAGGGAGGGATGTACGGAGGCATGGTCAAAGGAGCAGCACGTGCGGAGCCCCTGGGTGGGGAAAGAGGTGGAGAGAGAGAGAGAGAGAGAGTCATGGATTTTGCCCGGAGGGGGTACGTCTCGCCGTACCGTTGCCCCAGTCCCCTTCTGCCTCCACTGCCTGCGCTCTGGGGCTTGGAGCCGTGCACGGCGAGGGCCGAGGCAGGAGGTGTTCCTGCAGCCGCTGGCCGAGCACAAGAGAGAAAACGAGAGGAGGAGAAGGAGCAGCAGCAGCAGAAGGAGAACCTCGCCCCCCCCATCAGGAGGAAGGACACAGTGGACGCATCAAGTAAGAAGCTCGCCTGACAGCAGGTGCCGCCCATGTCTTACTCCGTGTTGGCCCCAGGGGCCCATTGGAGTTCTGGGGCGCCTCATCGAGGGTAAGGTCGACGGAAGATGTACCACAAAATGTCGAAGCAAGGCTCTTCCTGCACGTACCCACGGGTTGCCCCCCCTGCGGCAGAACGACCCTCGCTGGACCGCCTGGCCCTCGACGCAGCCGTCCGCCTCCGCATCCTCTGCCAGAGCCGTGACTCTGCATGTCGCCTCCTACGGATAGCGTTCCCTTTCGCGACTCCAGTAGCTTTCGCCTTGCGGCAACCCAGCAGAGTGGAGACGTCCAGGGCGTTCGGTAGGCCATTGTTGGAGCGGAAGTGGCCGGGTGTTCTCGTTCACGCCCGCGAGGGTGCAGGAGGAGGAGGAGGAGGAGGAGCGGAGGTGGGAAGGAGGAGGGTGGCAAGAGGAAGGAAGGAATTTCCCTCGACTGAAACATCGATCCCAGCATCCTGTCCCGAGCGGCGGTTGAGCACCCAGACTACGACCTCTACGCTTGGGTTGACGTTGGCATGCACGCCTCGGGTACCTCCGGGGAGATCTTCAGAGGTCACGGCCAGAAGCCGTGGCCGCATCCCAAGAAGCTTGCGATGTTGCCATTGGACAAGATCTCCATCAGCCACTCCGGTGTCAACTGCAACAAGGCGATGTGTTTGATTATGTATTGCATTCTCATGCGTCCCCAAGTACTTGAATGACCCGGGAATTCAGGGAAGATCGGAGGCAGAGGCGGAGTCATAGCGAAACATGGCAGAAGTTAGTTGGCCACCAGCAGGGAGGCAGTGAATCCCACGTCTGTTTGTTTTCTCTTCTGCCCCATGCGATGGAACCAACGATTCCAAAGAACGCCGCGAGATGTGGAACAAGCCCTTCGAGTTCTGGCATTGCGCTGCAGCCACCGCCTTCGTCGTCCCCCGCAGCATCCTCTTTACCGTTGAGAAGCTGTTCTACTCGAAGCTCGAGGATCCACCACGGGCAAAACATGTACAGCATGAGCATTTGCAATGTGCGTATCTAGAGTCTTGGCAGGTCATCCAGGGTAGGAGTTGCAGCGTTCATCCGGTGAACCGACAAGGTACCATGAATCAGCTGGTGCACTACCCGAGCGTCGCGGTTATAAGTTCTAGGTTCTCTTGTAGTTAGAGAAGCGAAGAGCATTGTAAAGACGCCCGCGTCGAACCAGCCGTGCTCATGGTTGCTTGCAGTCCTATTCGTATCGCAAATTGGGTTAGCGATTTCAGCAAGGGCAGGAGCGACACATCGTTCGCTTGGTTCCTTCGTTTGTTCCCTGCATACATCCGTTCTGACACATGGTTTGCAGGGCAAACTGTTGATCATATGAGTCCCTGGCTACTCCAGGTGCTCGTCTTCTGTACGCATCTCATGTGTGATAGGAAAAACCATCCGACCTCTAGCCAAGAGGGCTCCTACAGTCGACCTGGAAAGGACGTGCGTCAGCCCACACCGATGGAATCCCGCAGCAAGGCGAAACTGAATTTTCCTGGCAGGTGTCTGAGTTGTGGGCGTCATGCACGCACAGGTCTTACACGCACGACCCTAACACGCAACTATGCGCGATTGCACCGTCACCACCGGTATACGTGCACACATGGTTGCGTCTACATGTGTGTGTGTGTGTGTTTGTGTTTGTGTGTGTTTGTGTTTGTGTTTGTGTTTGTGTTTGTGTTTGTGTTTGTGTTTGTGTTTGTGTTTGTGTTTGTGTGTGTGTTTGTGTGTGTGTGTGTGTGTGTGTGTGTGTGTGTGTGTGTGTGTGTGTGTGTGTGTGTGTGTGTGTGTGTGTGTGTGTGTGTGTGTGTGTGTGTGTGTGGTGTGTGTGTGTGTGTGTGTGTGTGTGTGTGTGTGTGTGTGTGTGTGTGTGTGTGTGTGTGTGTGTGTGTGTGTGTGTGTGTGTGTGTGTGTGTGTGTGTGTGTGTGTGTGTGTGTGTGTGTGTGTGTGTGTGTGTGTGTGTGTGTGTGTGTGTGTGTGTGTGTGTGTGTGTGTGTGTGTGTGTGTGTGTGTGTGTGTGTGTGTGTGTGTGTGTGTGTGTGTGTGTGTGTGTGTGTGTGTGTGTGTGTGTGTGTGTGTGTGTGTGTGTGTGTGTGTGTGTGTGTGTGTGTGTGTGTGTGTGTGTGTGTGTGTGTGTGTGTGTGTGTGTGTGTGTGTGTGTGTGTGTGTGTGTGTGTGTGTGTGTGTGTGTGTGTGTGTGTGTGTGCACGCGCTCGTGCGATCTGATCGAACACTTGTGAATGCGCTGCACAAGGTAAAGTCGAGGATCCCTGCGCGTGTTAATACAAGTCACGCAGGCTACGTGCCAGGGAGGCTTCGACAGGGGCTGCTGGCACCTCCGAGCGGTGTCCCCTGGCAACTCCTAGGGACCCGAGTGTGATGAGTGACCACTCCGAGGGGAGTCCACTCGCAACTCCGAGGGGGTCCACCGACAACTCCGAAGTTGTCGGCGCGGGGCCGAGGAATTGTGTCGGTGGGGAGGCCGAGGAGTTGTCACAGTGGGTGGCCCGAGGAGTTGCCAGTGAGGGCCCGAGGAGTTTTCGGGTATAGTTGTCGGGTATAGGCAGGGTATGTTGTTCGGGTATAGATGTCGGTCCTGGGGATTTGTTGTCGGGTATAGCCAAGACCCCAGGTAAGGGGATCCGGTTAGTAGTAGGGCCCCGGAGCCCCTGTATTGACCAGAATCACTAAACCAGGTCTGCCGTAGCTTGTGTTTTTCGAGTGACAGCAGTTCCGGTTAGTGGAACGGGGCGGGGGGGTGCCCTCCCCCAGTAAAAATAATTGAACCAGGTCCCACTAAACCCAGTTTTGCCAACGCCCGATGTTAGTGAGGACCTGGGGAGTTGTCAGTGGCGCCCTCCGCTGACACATCGCTCTTTCTGCCGAGCGCGTTGATGCTCGAGCACAATTCGGGCGTGAGGTTTCTGCAGCTCGCCGCCGGGAGGAGTTGTGAGGAGTGACCTCCCCCCCCGTCTCCTGGAGGAGTTGTCAGTGAACAGCCCTCGGAGTTGTCAGTGAGCACTCCTCGGACTTGCCAGCGATCGCCCCTAAGGCCCCTGGGACCTAGGAGTTGTCAGTGGGCACCCCTCGGAGTTGTCAGTAGCCCCCTTCGGGTGCAATCGTTTGCCCTCATTTCGCTCCCGGGGTGCACTGCATGCGGAAGACCAGAACACGCCGTGTCACACCCCAAGGTTATACCAGAGTGATTCCGATGTCGCTAGTCTTTTCTTCCAATGTCCTGAGATTGGATTACTGGTATTATTTGGAAGCGTCCGCATCACTCACTCCCCCGTCTCTTGTTCTCAGACTCTGGATAGTGAAAAGTGGGACACCACCCATCTCAGACTTACTCACAGTCAGGGTCAGAAATACTCAAACTCCGATTCACTCGTCTCATCGTTCATCTCCTTGTCTTTCCCATCACCTCTCCTCTCCTCTCCTCTACGTCTCTCCCAATCGTTACGTTGTCACAAATCTTAGTTTAGTCACATTCGTACTCAGATTCACTCGAACTAAACTCACTCATACTCATAACGCAGCACTAGGCCCACACGACTTCGTCGGCGTCGTCGTCGGCGTTGTCGGCGTTGACGGCATCGGCTCTCGGCGTCGGCGTCGTCGTCGTCGGCGTCGGCGTCATCGGCGTCGGCGTTGCCGTCGGCGTCGTCGTCGTCAGGGTCGTCATCATCATCGTTGTCGTCGCTATCGTTGTCGTCGGCGGCGTCGTCGTCGTCAGGGTCGTCATCATCATCGTTGTCGTCGCTATCGTTGTCATGGTCGGTCTCGTCGTCGTTGGATGCTGACGCGCGCTGCCGCTCGCCTTGTCCAGGGGGGGAGGGAGGAGAGGCTCCCAAGGAGGAGGGAGAGGACGCCGTGCGGGAGGTCAAGGGAGGAGGGAGGAAGAGGAAGGAAAGGGTAAGCTTAAGTCGGGCTTGTCCCTCTACAGGAGGAATGTTCAAACATAGTCAACAAATAGTATGGGGACAAGTTCTCGATCATGTTTGAGTATGTTTTGAGTATGCTTGATGATGTTTCACTTTTCGCCCCAAATCCCCCTGTAGGGGGACATGTCCGACCTACGGTAAGGGCTCATTCAGAGCCATGCCTGGACGTCTCTTTGGTTGCAGTTCGCAGCCGCTGCAAGCCCTGCAATTAGCGCTCGGGAGCCACCCGATCCTCAGCGGCACGTCCTTCAACAGCCCGGAAAGGAGAAGGAGGCGGAGGAGGACAAGAGAGGAAGGAGGAGAATGAAGGGAAGGAGAAGGATTTGTCACCGCCTGTTCGTGTTGCTGACGTCGTCGTTGCCGCCCCCCTCATCGCAGCCGCCGCCGTCGCTGTCGTCAATCTGCCCGTCGTCCACTCGGACTCGCTCTCACACCGAGACGCCCACAGTCAGACTCACAGCGGGACATGCCAGAGCATGGGATGCACATGTAGGGAGATCCGCGCCGAGTAATGGTTATCGTTCTGTTTCGGCGTGTCGGCCGCCCCTTTGCTTTGCGGTGCACATCGCCTTTTGTAGATACGGTTAAGTTTGTTGTTTCAGGGGTGTGCATGCCTGCTTCGTCGCTCTGCCAATCGGGCGGGGGCCCACGAGCGAGACGGGACTTCGAGACCCCTAGGGGTTATCGGGTCGCCTCCGTGGAGAAGGAGCCGTCGACCCCACTTTCCCTGCCTCAGTCTGCATTAGGGTTTCAGCGCCATCCTCCCCACTGCAGAGCCAACACCCAGCGTGGAGGGCACCCCCTAGGAGTGCATCGAGCACTGGCAGCACCATAACAAGACTTATGTCGAGCGCGACGAGACCTACTTCGGCGGCTACGGCGGGGACGGCCACGCGTGTCCTGCCTGATCTGCGCGGTCGGGCGATCGAGGGCACACTTCTGGAGGAGGAGGAGGACGAGGACGACGACGACGACGACGATGACGACGACGAGGAGGAGGAGGAGGAGGAGGAGGAGGACGACGACGACGACGACGAGGACGAGGAGGAGGAGGAGGAGGAGGAGGAGGAGGCTCGGAGTCTCTTCGGCGTGTTCCTTGGGGCCCCAGCAGACTGTGGGAAAAAATGATCCTCGCTCCTCGTCTCAGGCTCCCTGCAGGAGGACGTCGGCTGTGCGGCTGTGCGGACGATGGCGGCGGAGACTTCGACGCGGGTCGCTCCGATCGTGGTCCCGAGTGCGTCCAGAGACGCCGGCTGTGGGCAGAGAGGGGTTCAGACTCCCCGTGGCAGCTCGGTCTGCGGCAGCCCTCGGCGGTCCCAGCGAAGGGCGGCGAGGAGGCGTGCGAGCAGGCGTGGCCCGAGCAAGCCGACGGAGCACGCGCGCGCGCGTCAGCGTCTGTGACATGGGGCGGCTGCGCTCTGTGACCCTCTTCTGGTGCCTCTGGAGGCCCAGGCCCCCGACGTCGTGAGTTTTTCACAACGACCCTCAGAGGTCTGGACCCCTTCCCCGGGACTGGTTCCTCGTCCTGAGTCGTTGTCTGACGGTCCTGAGGCCCGGGAAGGGCCCCCGGAGGCCGAAACCGGCAACAAAACCTCCCGTCGTGTTTTTGGTGCCCCTGGAGGCAGCCCGGGTCCTCCTCGGCGACCTCCGCAGACCTCCTTCTTGCAAACCGCAGGAGGCCTCCGGGAGGCCCGCGGCCGGGCCCACCCGCGGGGATGGTTTGTCTCTCTGTTCGTCGGGGCGGTGCGAGGAGCGCGAGGAGGATCGCCTCGGCGCAGCGCGAGGCCGTCAGCTGGGTGACCGAGGCACGAAGGGAGGCCTGTAGCATTACCTTCTGATGCCGAGAGTGATGTGGAGGTTGGAGAGGAGGAGGAAGACGACGACGACGACGACGACGACGACGACGAGGGCGAGGGGAATGAAGAAGAACGAGAGGAACGCCACGAAGAGAATTAGGGGGCGGATAAGCGGGAGGAGGAACAGGCGGATGAGCAGAAGGCAGGGGAAGAGGTGGAGTTTGAAGAGGAGGAGGCAGAGGAGGAGGATAATAATAACAGTAAGTGGGAGGATTTGAAGGAGGAGCCTGACAACGATGAGGCTGAACAGGCGGAGGAGGAGGAGGAGGAGGAGGAGGAGGAAACGGAGGAGGAGGAGGAGGAGGAGGAGGAGGAGGAGGAAGAGGAGGAGGGAGTGTAGGAGTAGGTTGAGGAGTAGGACCGTAGGAGGAGTAGGAGGAGGAAGCAGCGGTATCGAGGGAGACGGAGGAGTAGGAGGGAGAATGGTGGGGAAAGATTACGTGGATGTGGAGATAGAAGAGGGGGAAGGTTGCCTCAGCGAGCAGATGATCCTCTCCGTCATCGCGCGCGAGAATCCAGAGCTGTTCAACTGGGTCGGGCACGGCTGGGGAAAGACCGCGCCCGCGGCCCTGGGGGTGAGGCGCTGGCGGTTCTGAACCTGGCAAGTTTGCAAATTTTGTATATTTTCATCGACGTGGTCCATCGAGGAGCATACTGGATCATCTTGCGGTAAAAACGCGCACGAAACCGAATGATGCACGCGGAATGAACGTCCGAGCGATGGCAGGGGCCAGAGTTGCGCAGAGACACCACGCGGGCGTAGCCCAGGTTGCTTCCGACGGGATGCGGGCATGTCGCCCACAGCGCCGTGGAGCGGTATCAGAAAGCTTCGGGGCGCTCCAGCATGGCCGCGGCGCCCGACGCAGCCGACTCGTCCTCCAGATTTGCCGGCTCCCAGAGATCCCGAGTTATCCGTAGCCGACTTGATCGTGTATTGCCCTCGTCTGGAGTACCCATCGGTCGTTGATGAAACTAGGTATTTTTGGATTCCCAGATTTCAATATACTTGAAGCGCCTTTCTACTTCAACGATCGGGTGGCTTCACCTTTTCGGTCATCCTTAGGGGGTGGACGGAACCCAATATATTTTCAACGCTTTCCTACTTCATGTGTATACCTGCTCTTCCGACCGATGGGTACTCGCTGGGGCTCCTTCGACTCGCCGCCCATACAGTAGATACGTGCGGTAGCAGAAAGAGCCACAAGAAGTATTGGAGCACTCGTCGTCGAGACGTGAGGTTCCCGAGGAGCCCAAGGGCTTCTGTGGGCCCACAGGGCCACTGCTACCAGTTCGACACATATCCCTTCCCCTATGTTTGGCATCACCTCACCCCTGTGCCGATCTGAAAGATTCCCCTCGGTGTCTGAGGGCACATCCCTGAGAGTGTCATCGCCTTGGGGTTGACGATCTTAGGGGTAGGGATAAGTTCGAGGCTGGTTACACTGACACGACCCGTGGGGCACCTGCTGGCAGCCCGATGTCTTTGTTTGACGTGCCTACCGCAGCCAGACACGGGGGCACCCGTTCGGTGGCAGGGATCGGGCGTGGCTGAGGCTCGCGTCGGCTTGAGAGGTGGCAGCGCATCCTGCAAAGTGGGAGAAGAATCTCGAAAAGGAAGAAGAGAGGTAGGATAAGGACGAGAGGGGGGAAACTGGGAAGGAGGAGAGGGGGAGGAGGAAGAGGCGGTGGGGGCAGGAAGGGGTGTGAGGAAGGGGAGGAAAAGGAGAAAGGGAGGGAGATGCTGATATCTCGAGTGCGTTCTCAAAGATGGGATCGCAGCCGAGCGGTGGAATCGTAACTCATTGGGCCTGCGTGCCATCGTTGCGCAAATTACCGGGCAGCCGCGCGAGGGACGGCAAATGGAGGTCTGGCGCATGGGAACTACAGGGTGCAAGGCAGACGAGGAGGAGGGGGAGGAGGAGTACCCAGACTTCGGTGTCGCAAAAATAGAAGCATTCAAAATAACACGGCCGGCGCTTCTGCATTGTCTCTGGCTTTGCGGCCGTCACGGTCCGATCCCATAAGGCTCGGCTCGAAAGACGTCGCGTCGAGGCGATCGTTTTCTTATCTTTATTTTGCCGATCGGTGCGGGCCCTCGCACCCCTCGCCACCCTCCCTTATGGAGTAGATGTTGGCTGTTTGGGGCGGCTGTCCCATAGGACGAACTGCTGCAGACAGTCGCATTAAGCAGAGGTCCGGAACCAGACGAACACCCCACCTCGGCCCACTGTCGAAACGCCGAATAAGAAAACGTTTACCAGAGATGAGGCTAATAGCCCAGGTCCTATTTTGTTTGTGTGTGTGTGCGATCTCGCGCTCCGTTTGTCACGACGCCAGATATCTGGGCCTGATCGTCAGGGAACGCCAGCTATACACCAACATCGATCCTGTGCAGGAGCGGTGTCAGTACATATATATATATATATATACATATTGTTGGTGTCTTCCGAGGAAGAGGATCGAAGAAGAACACTTTGCATAAGCATGAACTGTCGGGGCTCCAGTCGGATTTCTTGGGATCGATTCTCGAACCCCCCGGCGGAGCCTCCTGCACCGATCCCGAGACATCCGCGCGGAGCCCCGGCAGTTTATGACTATGCCGTTGCTCTTCCTTCTGCAAGGGGCGATCGTTTGTGGTGCCCGTAGAGACCCCGCCCCGCCTCGCCCCAGGATCGCCGCCAACCTGACCACCGACGCGATGAACTTTGCCGAGAGGGGGCAGGGCGCCCGGGACGTTCACGAATGCAACTCAGATGCCGTCACGAGCTGGCGTTCGGGAGTCGCACTTCCTCCTGCTCCTCTCTTCTCCCGTCTACCCGTCTGGCCAAAGAAAGAAGAGCAATCCAAAAGCGGCATGAACATATGTTTCGCGATGGCCCGCGCGGACTTCTCGGATCCGCGCTGGAACCCCTTGGCGGCGTCTCCAACGCTGCCCCCGGTGTGCTTCGCGCGCCAGGGAAAGGGGCTGGCGCGGATCCAAGAAATCCGCGCGGACCTTCAGTTTCTATGTTTATGCCAGTCTTCCTGCTTCTCTCATCCTCCTCCTCCTCCAAGGTCTTGTTCCCTCCACTGGGAGGTAGACCCCTGCCCTTCCCGAGCTGGAGCTCCGTCTCGGGGTCTTCGCGGAGGTGCACCGGTCTGCGTCCTCTACCGCCCTGTTCATCCTCCCTCCTGTGGGGTAGGGGGCTGCTTGATTTCATTGTAGGCATGCGTGGTGATGTCGGCGTGGTGGTAATGGAGCGCTGTCGCAGGGGGGATCCGACCGGCACGGATCCCCCAGAGAGCACGGGCGCTATGATTCTGTGACGGGTGTACAACAGCACCGCAGTTGGAGTACTGACGCTCGTCTCCAGGACTCGTCGCCGTGCGCCAGACTTGGATCAGACACATCGGTTTCTGGAGAGGTGTTTCCACAGTCATGCGAGGCATTATTTGCTGTTCGGGCTGTTTTCCAAGGTTCTGGCAGTTAGACCGCATCGTATTGGGTTGGCCCCCCCAGGAACGACTTCGCGGGCCAAGGTCCTCCGTTATTTCATCGTGCGCTTATGATGACGGAGCGCCTCCAGGCCCCGCGACAGGATACTCCAGGCCGCTGGCGACGGCTTCTTTCGATAGGACCCCCCAGACATTGGCATTTGTCGCCCCAGCGGGTAAAGATCCAGCCCGTGTTCATGGGCATCGCGCGTCCTCGCGTCACGGGCAATGGCAAGTGACACCCGACACACACGGTCAGCGAATGGACGAAGTACGGCCTATTGTTCTGTGCCAGATGCGCTGCGTACGGCAGTACGATTGGCAAAAGATTGAGAGAGACCTGCGAGGAAACCATCACCAAGAATGGCCAGAACGCATTGAACCGCATTCGCGATGGAAAATATCCTGGCTACAGGGGCCCGCCGAAGGCGGCACTGGAAGCGGAACGTGCAAGGCTGGTCAGGCAGATGCACGACCAGGAATTGATCGCTCCACATGTACCGCAGCAACGTATCGGGACACCGCCACCGCCAACTGCTGTGCCAATAGCTCCACGCACACCACGTCGAGTTTCGAGAAGGCCTGCATGGCATCAAGTCGCTCATGCACGCGCTGGGTTACAGCGGGTGGAGCATGTTGTGGCGGCAGGTCTTACTGCACATGGTGTTGACACAGTGCCTGACCTAGAGGAGGTGCAGACGCGTGTGATGGAACACGACGGCCCCCAGATGCAGCACGACCTCGAGGAATATTCCGGAGAAGCCGAGTCCAGAGTGCAGCGGTCTGGACAACCACAGATATCCGCAGCAAGTTCATCCTCGACGGCATTGGTACACCCGTTCGAGAGCACATTGCTGAGCCACCTCCCTCATGCGAGCGTCGCCGGGTTTCGAGAGGGCCTGCAGGACGTGGAGGCGCTCAAGCTGGGGGTGTTAGAACGCAAGTCCCAGCCCCCAGGTGCACCCGTGAGGTAAACAGCGCGCGGGACTGGGCTCAGTCGCCGAACGTTTTGATAGAACCTGCCCCCAGGTGCACCCGTGTGGTAAACAGCGAGAGGGGCAGGGATGCAGTTGACACAGTACGGGGCCAGGGCTCAGTGCAGATACTGATGATGGGTTACGACGACCCCGAGCTGCAGCGCGACCCTGGAAAGATTTTCGGAGACACCGAGTCCAGTGTGCAGCGGACTGGGATACCACAAGTATTCGCAGCAAGTTCTTCCTCGACGGCATTCGTACAGCCCGCTGGAGAGTATATTGAATTGGATTCAAGTCACGACGATGGGGAGTTGAACCCGTCGTCTGCCAGCGGCGAGATTGGGCCTCCGCCTTCTGAGTCCCTCGCCGCCGCTGCCGCTCGCCCGCCCGTCGTTTGGCACCTGGGAGCGGGCCCCCACCGCGCCCGAAGGGCCCCGCTCGCCCGCCCGTTGCGAACCCCAGTGCGCCCGCGACCACGGCGCCTGGGAGCGGACCCCCACCGTGCCCACAGGGCCGACGAGCGGCGGTGGAACTGGATCGATGAAGAGATTCCACGGGCTCGCCGTGTTGTGCAGGGGCTTCTGTGCCTGCGTGAGGTGGCGGGTCTAGTGGCGTGCCTAGCCGAACCCTCATCATCACCATCATCATCATCATTATCATCATCATCATCATCATCATCATCCTGTTCCTTTTCCTTTTCCTTTTCCTCCTCCTCCTCCTCATCCTTCTTCAGCGATTGCGATTCTCGGTGGGGTGGTGGCATTGCCATTCTCGTACCCTGATACAGCCAGGACCAGCTTCGTCAACTACGCTTGGGTCGATGCCTACGTTTACCCCCGAACGTCTGGTTGACGGCCGAACCCTCAGACGCCGCATTTGCGGACATGGTCAGGAAGTTCGTCTTTTCAACGTTCGCAATCGTGAGATTCCCCGCGATCGTCGTCAGATTGTTCGCGGCATTGGCGTGCATGCCTGTATGCGATGGGTTGCTGCTGACGAGCGTCACCGCGGCTTCCTTCCATTGGGGGGCTTCAATGTGGCTCCGACGTGGCACCTGTTTCTCCGATCCAGCCTGCTGCTCGTGGATACGTGGAACACCGCGGTCAACATCATCGGCCATTTTGGCGACCTCTGTTCGACCGCGGTTTGGCGGAGATTCTTCCAACGCTGCCGACTCACGTCTGCCGTTGCAAGCGGACTTGCAGCATGCTCGAGAGGGCGTTCAATTCGCTCTCCCCGCCCCCCCCCCCCCCCCCGGAAGCGGAAATTATTCTCACGGTCCATCAGGAGGCGCCGCGGCTATCCGACTGGAGCTGGAGCGGCCACGTCATCTCGTCGCTGACGCTGCGTCCTCGGCGGCCCCGCTTCCCACGTGAACCAGGCATCCCAGAATGTGTCTTTCGCTCTCGCCATTGCCCTGGAGCTCTTCACCAATACATGTGTTGCGCGAACTGGGACACGATGGGTTCACACGACCACTGGGCGCTCACTAAAGACTTGACAGTGCGCACTGCTGCTGCGGTTCGGAACCGCCTTCAACGTCTCCGCACCACATCTAGCGCACAAGGGGCTGGGGACAGTCGTCGCTTCACGTTGTGGATCATTACGAGGGCAATTTGGCAGCAGGACCTCACGAGGCCACCATCGTCATCAATGCCACCACGCACGGGCCACGTCTTCCCCACGTTGACGGCAGGTCTGTTCACCCTGCCAATGGCGCTGAGTTTCGGAATCTGGTCTGCAAGGTCCACGCGCACTGGCATTAAACGCAACAACGTCATGCTGCCGCACGCGCCCGTGCTGACAATCCGATCTCTCGCGAGGAGGCCATTCGCAGTCGTGAAACAGTGGCGAGAGGCGCAGGCCACATTTCTACGCCGCGCCCGGCTACGGGCCCCAATTTGAGGAAGCAGCTGATACGGGCCGGCATTCGGCGCAGTAGTGCCCGCCACGCTGGATCCACAGCCCCCCCCCAAAAAGCTCCCTTAGGGGGGGCGTCGGGCGTCGAGAAAATCAAGCCTTTTGGCGTTCCGTGCGGATTTCTTGGGCCCGCCCCCGCGACGCCCCCGGCGCCGCCCCTGGCGCGCTCCGCGCGCCATGGGCGGAGGTCCAGCGCAAATCCAAGAAATCCGCGCGGACCGCCAAACAGATATGTTCATGCAGTCTTTTGTTCCTTAAAGACTGCCGTGGAGACGAATTTGACGACGCCCAGCCACGCGGGGCCGCCATTGCGACGAGGGGCGCTCGCCAAGATCAGGGTGGTGACCCTGCAGCTGCTGGCGGTGGATGGGGAGTGAGCGGAAGCGCAGCAGTCCCAGCGAGCGCTGCCGTTACGACGGGCCCGGCTGCATTTGTTTAGCACATCAGGCAGGCCGCAGTATCCTAGAGTTCGCAGTTCAGCCATCTGTTCAAGCTGAACAAAGGCGCCGAGCGGAAGATCCAGACCACACGGCTTCCGTATTATGGGATTCGCCGAACTACTAAGAGCACATCAGCAATCCAGTTATACAGCAGCGGTTTCAACGTACCGGCTGTATAAGTCATCCTTAACCAGTGCCAGCCTAGCCGATGTGTGTCCTTCAACCAGCTCATACAGAGCTGTGGATTCACACATAAAGACATCCCAGACGCATGCGGATTCGTTACTTCCCTTGTTCAGGTCAATTGTAAGCAGCGTGTGCAGGCCTGGGCGCAGGCGCATACTGGCATTCAGCTTAGCTTCTTTATCGATGGTAGTTTGTTGCAAATACTTCGCAAGTGCAAGAAGCAGCTTGCGAAGCAATTGCTCGACGCGTGTTCCCAGCTATTTGGCAGCCACCAAGCGAGATCTCCAGTGCCAGATAGCCGACGAAAAGTCGGTTGCCCTCGCCTCCCCCAGGGACACCCAGGAGACTTTCGAAGGAGAGCTCGGCAAGTACGCGGGCCCCCTCAAGGAGGTCCAGGTGTGACCCCCAACCTTGGAGATGATTTCGGATCTTGTGGAGCCCGACGGCGTGGTATCTAAAGTCTACTCTACGCAGTCGACACAAAAATCCCCGGGCCAGGTTCACAAGGCTCGCCAGCCTCAAGAGTGCCCAAGGAGACACCAGGAATATCTCCAACACGGGCCCAGGCCAAATATTTTCCTACGGGTCGGGGGTCGTAGGCCTCGACGTTCGCAAGACGCAGTCGTTCTACCTCAAGGTTGTGGGCCCAGGGGAATCCAGTCGCTCCAGATGCGCGTCGCTCTGCGTTGTAGACGATCCGCGCTGGCGACCAGCAGCGGGGCCAGTGCTGTCGCGGAGCCTGCCGGCGTGGAGAGCGGCTATACGGGCGCCCGCGCCCGGGGCTTCAACCTTCCCAGCATGCGCAGGATGGCAGCGGCGGTGCTGCGGAGGCCGCCTATGTCATGGGGCAGTTGCAGCAGGTCCGCGAGGAGCCGCTTTCCTCGGCCTCCAGAGGACCCGGCGGTCGTTCCCCGCCCTCCTTCGCGGTCGTGGACAACCGAGGGAGTCAGCACATTCTTACCAGCGCATCCCCCAGCCTCTCACATGACCTTCTCAAGCAGTCTTGGGAAGATTAACGATTCCGCACGGCCGCCAGCGAGATGGGCATCGACGGGGACAATGTCAACATCAACGTCGCTCAGACATGCCTCAGGTCAGCCAGTCTAGGCACGGCGGAAAAGAACATTCCTGCGCGCCTACCTCTGCCACGCAATATGGGCGCGCAGCGGTTGCATGGCAGCGGGCTGCGACGAAGCCTCAGGACAACGCACCTGCGGCGCGCCATCGGACGACCTTCCCCGCCACCGCTGGGTCAAACTTTCGACCCAAAGTCTCAATGTTTCAACGGTCAGACTCGGACGAAATTGATAGTGCATCAAGTCAGGGCACTTCTCCGCTTGCTGCAGTATCTCAAAAGAGAGTCTGATTTTGGCATGGGAGCCCCAGGAGCGCTCGGACTCAGCGCCATGACCTCTTGGTCCGCGGCCCCCCCGGCCATTGCCCGGCCGGCCTTTGCGGGCAAAGTTTCCGCGGGCGGGTCGGCGCCCAAACTTGGGTGCAAAACTTTCGAAACAGCGGGCTGGGCCGTCGTCGAGACGAATGATGCGGGCGAAGTTGTCGCTGCTTTAACTAGCCAGGTCGGCTGGGCCCCCCCCAATCCCCCCCCCGTTGCCGAGCGCTGCCCCGCGCTCGCCGCCGCCGCCCCCCCCCCGCCCCCCCCCCGACATCACGGATATTCCGGTCGATTGCCCGGGTATCGTGGGCCTTCACTCCACAGGCTTGTCTCGACGCAACAGATTTGCAGGGGTCGGCCGCCTCGCGCGGGCCGCCACTTGGCTGGCGCCCGAACCTCGGGCTTTCGAAGGTCAAGGCCCACCGGGGCCTCGACGCCCACCCCGAGGGCGCGGCCGCGGGGCCGATCGCTTTGCCGGCGAACTTTCGCAATACATTCGGACGCAGTGTTTTCTCAGGCCGGGGCAAGTGTCGAAGCAAGGCGCTCCTCAATGTCGCCGGAGCTTCGCGGGCCCCCCCCCCCCTTCCATCCATTGAACCAGGCGCGACCATGAAGGCACCCGCCAAACCTGGTCAATCTATCCCTTGCTGCAGGGGGGGCTTCAGCGCAACCAGTCTGGAGGCCGCCCCAACCGCCAGACCGCCCGCCCCCTTCCGCGGCCCCCCGCCAGAGGCCCCCGGGGAAGAGATTTTGGCGCGTGCATTGCCGAGAGCGAGTTGCAGCCAAGAAGACAGGGGGGCGCCTTGCCCGCGCCCGGCAGCTCGCCGCGCTTCGCATGAACCCGCAGGACCGCTTTTTTTTTTTTCTCTGAGCAAAGACGGGGGAGCTCGTTCCCCTCCGCGAGCCGTCGTCGCGGGAAGTCTTTAGAACCCAACGCCAGACCCCTCGGCCCAGGGCCCGCTCGCCGTTTCGCTCGGCCGGGGGGCGGGGCTCCATGGAATCTCTCGGCGAGCGTCAGGCGCCCGGAGGGTTCCAGGAATTCAGCAGTCGAGTTCGAGCGGCCGGTGCATCTCCGCCAGCGCCTCCAGCGCGGGGCCCAAGAGCTGGCGGAGATGGAGGGGGCGGCGGCCGAGGCCGTCGCCGCCGCCGCCGACGCCGCCGCCCCGGGCCGAGCGAGCGGGGCGGAAAGGGGGCAGCAGCAGCAGCAGCGGCGAAGCAGTTGATCAGCCGAACCGCTTCCATCTGTGCGACGGCCCGAACCCAGTTTGCTCCTGCAGATGACGTCTCCTCTTATGTTGATGTGCACTTCCCTCGCTTTGAACGTCCTCTGCTACCTCCCCCGTCGACGGCAGACCTGCGGGGTGCTTTCCGCCCTGGCAAAGGAAGTGTTCCTGGCCCTGGTCGCCCCCGCATGGCGCTTGATTGGCAAACGAGGATGCCCTTGAAGCTTTGCGCTCGATTATGCTGGGCATCTTCTGCAGCCAGGGATCGCCGCCAGGCTTCAACCACTCTTTGAAGCGTTGCATGCCGAAGGGCGCGCCACCTGAGCACCCTCTGGACGACGCGCGCCCCCGCGACGCGCCGCGGCTGCTCGCCCTGAAGAACGGCGACCCGATGGCCGTGGCATCCACGATCCATTCTTACCTTCGGCATGCCCCCGACAGTCGCCGCCGCCCCTCCCCCCCGAAGAGGGCTTCTCCGCGATGGCCGGCTTGCTTCGCGCGTTGTGGACTTGGGCGCCGCTCCCAGATGGACGGAAAGACACGGGGATGCCACTGAACGAATGCCGTGCTTCCCCTCGCACGACGCGCAGGCCGTTCCCCCTCTTATGGATTGGCACTGGAACGCAGCCGCCTTGCGTCTCCATTCTGCGCCAGCTGGCTACATGTGCGCGATGCGAGCTTTGTGCCGCGATCGGCAAGTCAGCTCTTGGTTCGGTGACGACCGTCAGCGCCTATTCCAGGTCCCCGCTGAAGCTGCTCTGGGGCGCCCGCTGTCTGATTTTTTGGCGGGCATTCAACGGGATGTCGTCTGGATGTCGGGCCGTGCGCGGACGATGTTGGAGTTGCACTACTTCGTCTGAGCCAGGCTGCCCAGCTTAAGCCAGTGTTTCGAGCTGCCCGCCGCCTTGCGCGCCTCTGCTTGCAGCCTGGAAAATGCACGGCGGCTCCATTGTGGACCGCATGGTGTGACGTCGTCGCCTTTGCTGTCCCCGCTCTCTTTTCGGTCGTCGCCCCCCTCTTCACCTCCTTTTCCATTGCTGGCCTTGCCAAGTATCTCGGCGTCTCGTTCCGTCGTGCGGCCGCGTTCGAGGCCCAGTGGGAGGCGGCAGCTTCGAAGCTACGCTCCCAGACCTGCCTTGTCGCAGCTATTCGGTCGCCGTCGGAGGTTTCGTGCCGCGCGCGCAATTTCTCGATTCTCTCTGTCCGTTCTCTGCCTGTCAGTTCTTCCAACTTCCCCTCTCCTTTCCAATGAGCCCCGGCTTGCTCACGACCTGCTTCGGCTGCCCCGGAACGCGCTCAAATGATCCGAGGTGCCGTCTTTGAATGCCAGGATCCCTGGTCCCGGCCCAACGTCGACGGTTGTTTTTGCTTGCGCATCGGCGCGAAGGCTTGCGTCCCACAATTATGGTTTCAGGGATCGGCAACTCTCGTTCGAGTTAGGGGAATCTTCAGCGTGGAATGAGCCGCTGGCCATATTCATTTGTCGGGGATGGATCCTTCCGTGTTGGCAGCGACAGCAGAGTATCTCACATTTCCTCGCTGCGGTCCTGGACGGTGTGCCGCGCTATTCCCTTATTGCGAAAACCAACTACGCGATGCCGCCTCTGCGGGCACGGAGGAATAAACCGCCGCTGCGGTCGCCTCTCGCCGTCCGAGGCCCCAGCGCGCCTTCGCCCAGGCCCTCACCCGTCTCGTCCTCCCCGACGAAATCCCATTTATTTTTTTCGATAGTTGAAGGCCAGGCTCCCTGATGTGCCCCTTTTCCCCGCTGGGGGACATGGCCCATCGATGGGCCTTGCTTCGTGGTGTGCTCTCCCGGTCAAAGCCCAGCTGTTATTGGGCACGCGTCAAGACTCGCAGGGGGATGGGTCACCTCAGGTCGCCTGTTTGGGGCCAGCGTCCCTGCCTGTTGGGGTGCGAGGGCAGTTTCGATCGGTGGCCTCGTTACCTGGCCTGCCCACGTCTCCTCCACCCCCCCGCCCGTCCGAGGTTTTTCCTCCCCTTTGGCCCTCTGGTCCATCTCGGCGTCGGCCTCGATGTTGAGTATGTTTCGCAGGTCACCCGAGAGACCGCTCATCGCCTCGTCTTGTTGAGTTATCATGTCTACCATAAGTTCCACGCATAGCATGAGGCCTCGCCCTCCCATTGAGGCGACTGCGGGCGCCCACCTGTGGCTCTTGCGTGCCACGAAGTGGGCGACCTGCGCCAGTCGGTAACGGAAGCATGCCCTCAAGAGTTACGTGCGTTCGTCTTCCTCCCTCCGTCTCACGTTCTTCCTAATCCTCCTGCCTCCCTCCGCCTTCTCCTCCTCCTCTTCCTCCTCTGCCCCCAGCTCCTCCTCCTGTGCCCAATATCCACCTCCTCGCTCGTGCCCCCTTTTCTGGCAGCCTCCGCATCGGGCCGTTGCCCCCCGCGGAAGGCCGCGAGGACCTCTTCGGCTGGCTCGCGTCGGACGACGAGGAGGGCGAGGATTCCAGGACGGCCAGTTTTTGCTTTTCTCGCTTTCTTCTCTCTCTCTCTCTCTCTCTCTCTCTCTCCTTATGTCTCTAGTTCTCTCTCTCTCTCTCTCTCTCTCTCTCTCTCTCTCTCTCTCTCTCTCTCTCTCTATCTATATATAGATATATCATGCTTTGCTGTTTTTCTATATACAGATCTATGTATATATATATATATATATATATATATATATGTATGTCTCTCTCTGTCTCTTTCGGTATATTTCGACATTATTTATGTTTCCCCATCTCGTCGAACTAGGGGCGGCGTCGGCGTCGGCGTCGTTGTTGTCGCGGCCCTCCTCCTCCTCTACCCCTTTCCGCTTCCTCATCCTCCTCTTGCCCCTCCTTCCCCTCCTCCTCCTCCTCCTTCTCCTCCTCCTCCTCCTCCTCCTCGTGGTCCTCGTAAGGGCTGTCAGGTTGTCAATTCTCATGTCGTCCCCGATTAGACCGAAAGGGAAAGTCGTGGGAGATTTGCTTGCATTCATCTTTCTTTTTTTCCCCCAGCCAGTCGTTGGAGTTTGTCCTATGGGATTGTACTGCTATGGCACTGGAGAGGTCTAGATGTCAAACTGACAGTGGCACCGATGGCCTAGTCGGTTCGGTTCGCGCCTTGCCAGAAATGTTTTACGCCACCCTCGGTGAGCTTGGCGAAGCCATGCAGGAGCGTGACACGCATAGAGTTGCCCGGATGCCTGAAGGTCCTGGCAGCGGCGACCCTCGGACACACTTTGGACATGGAGCCCCGTACGGGTACGATCTGGCCGATCACTGATCTCAGAGCGCCCTGGGATCACTGCACCGGGTTCCTTCTCCTGGCGGTTTGGACGCCTACGGGGTCTCTTCGTTGTCCGACGTGGGTCAGCAAGCACGAGCAGTCTAGCATCGTGTTTCAGTCAGTTTTGGGCCCGTGCTTTCGTCCGACGGACGGGGCCCTGCGTCTCCTGGAGATCAAAGGTGTCACGAGCTATTCTGCTGGTCGTGTCAAAGGTTGGGTGTTTGAGAGGGGAGCTCGAACTGACGAAGACATCGCTTGTATGTTGTCTGCTTCAACTGGGGCTCCGTCTGGGGATTCCCGCAAGGCCTCTAGAGATCTAGAGGTTTCCGTGGGTGTCGTGCTTTGCTCAAGCAACTTTATCCCAGGAGCTGTGGTGGACCGACCGCGCGGGTTCCGACAGTCCCTTTGCCGAGATGGTGCGTCAGGTTTGGAATGCTCGCGAAGCCTTGGTGCGTACCGAAGCTGCCCAGAGTGGTGACAGTGGTGGAGCCGTGCCAGTCAGCAACTTGTTCGTGTGCGCAGGATGGCGCAGGCTTGGCAGAAGTCGACTCGGCAAATCTCCCTTCAACAGGTCACCGACGCGGACGAAGCTTCGCACAGTGACCCCAACACGTGTTCACAGCTACTTGCCGAGCATTGCAATGCTGTATTGAAGTAGAGACAGGTGGACACAGAGGTGGTGGAGGAGTTAGTAGCCAGGATTACGCCGATACCGCGTGACGATCACCCATGCATTTCGGAGAATGGCTCGGTACATCCGTTGGTGAGTCCTGCAATCCAGTTCTCGGAAATCGTGGAACGCAAAAACGATGCATGCCGTGGTCTTGAGGGTATTCCACATGCTGCACGGAGGGCGCTGGGATGGGTGGGAATTATATGAATCTATGGTATGCCTCGAGCTGGTCGGGAGCAAGCGCCTGCCGCCTAACTGAAACGAGAGCTCGGCGGCATGCCTGCCAGAGGGGCACGTCGAGGACGGGTAGATTGCTGCCCGACTGCGAGGTTGAAACCCGCCCCCTCTCCCTCCCTGGTGCGGACCACAAGCTGGTCAGCGCAAGCCTTGCTTGGACGCATCCCAAGGTCTCCAAGGGCCGTGCCCAGGTTGCCCAAAAATTGAAAGGACGTCATATGAATTATAACATAATCCAGGTCGACGCCCACTTGCTCATCAGCCATTCGGTTTGCGACTGTAGGAAGACAGCCACGGCCCTGTTCGGCAGAAAGGGGGGCCTTCCCGAGCATTAATCACACCGTCATTCGTCTTTAGAGCATTGGGCACTCCTGAATTCATTATTATGATTTTTGCGACCCTCTATCAGAACAGTATCATGGTCATTGATGTTCACCACCTGGCACCCTTCCCAGTCCACCTCTGTCGCGAGATAAAACAAGGTTGTCCGCTAAATGGACGTCTTGTCAGCCGTTGTTTCGACTCTGTGGTGAGGAAGCTGCAGGAGGCATCGCTGCTGCGGTTGTCTTTCATGCGTTTGCTGACGGCCTCGCCCCGTCAGCCAGCAGTGGTTTAGTCAGTATTACTTTGAGGATCGTCAAGACGCTTGTTATGAGCGGGGGCGGCACAGGTCTCTTTCTGAACCTTCAGACGTGACTGTTGGTCTTCCCTGGCGGCGTCACATGTGACAACGTCCTTCGCCTGTGCCGTGAAGCGGGTACTCGGGCCAGGCAATTTCAAATGTCCAGGTAGGGCTGGTATCTTAGGGCGCGAGTCGGAATTGATGCAGCTGAACAAGCATGGACCATTGCCCGGAGTACGCTCAAAGCCCGCTGCCTCCAAGTAAAGCTATTGAATCTTGGCCTCCTGGGCACGTATCTGCTCAATGTAATGCCTATGGGCTCCCAGCAACCCCTCATGTTGATCAAATTCACAATCTCCCCCGCCGGGCCTCCTGCGTTGCGTGGAGAAGGATGGGCTGCAGCTCCTGACTTGCCCCCCCGCCCGAGGCATAAGTAGCATACCGCCCAACGTTCCCTCCGTTGTTTGAGAAGCTTAGGCATCAGGTCCAAGCCTGTCAGGTGGTGACGTTTGCTCGTGCATGGCTGGCCCGCGCTGCTACCAGAACCACATGCTGGTTGTATTACTATCGTCTGGTCTTAAAGTGGTTGGAAGCGTGTGCTGAGATATGTTCTGCTTGGAAGTCTAAGGTGATGCCTAAGCACTCGATTCTCATGCAGATGAGAGAAGCGCGCGACTGATTCTACATTATCTTGTCTCAACCAGGTGATAACCCTCCTGAGCGCGCCTGCGCTTATATTCATCAGCATGTTGCTCATGGTATGCCCCTTTCTGGTGTTCATATATCACTTGTCCCTGGTTTTCGTGAGTGGACTTCTGACTCGCATCCTGATGCAGGTTCTCTTGCGGTGGCCAGACGAAGTCTGATCGGCATGCGCAGTCCTGGGTTTATATGGATTGTCGTGATCAAGTGCCTTGGTGTAATTCCTGGGACAGGTCTCGACACAATCGTTGCAGTCCGAATGGGTGTAGAGATGGGTGCCAGGCATTCGGTGGGGACGATATCCTTCACTATAGGTGCTGTCTTCTTGCCGTGGGATGTACGAGATCTATCCTTCGGGTACTTCCACCAGAGTTCGGAGTTGACAAGCATCCTCCATTCCTTCCCCACCTCATCGTTTTTCACAAGTACATACATGTGGGAAAGTATTTCCGAATCGATTACCATTGCATTACATAAATTCAATTGAAGCTGATATGTAACCTAGGATTTCGAAAGAGGTCTAAAGGAGAATATCGTTTTCGTTTGGCGACGGGGATTCTACATCTTTTCATTGGACTCCTGAGTCCAGATTCCAAGTTCGGATCCGATCGTAATTAATTACTTAATTAATTAATTGATTTCCGGATTCCTGGCAGAAAGGACGGTGATACAAAATTATAGAATAGCAGCGAAGGTGAGCAGAGGAGAGGAGGAGAACAGAAGATAGAAGAACGGTTGAAACAAGAACAACAGGACAGCAGCAGAGCAGTGGGGGAGAAGAGAAAATGCTTCATTGATGGGGGTGGCAGTGCCGCGACCCACGCCGATGGTATCAGCCCTCGTAGCCAGAACGCCTCAGCGTGGTCCTGACTTGATTCCTGAATCGCATGGATTCCTGAATTGATTCCTGAATTGATTCCTGAATTGATTCCTGAATTGATTCCTGAATAGGAGTGTACAAAATCGAGGCTGAAGCGTTTTCTCGGGTTGCCCAGAAATTCCCCCGAGAAGGTCCCCCAGGAAAGGTGCCTTCAATTCCTGAATTCATTCCTGAATGATTCCTGAATTGATTCTTGAATTGATTCGAGAATTTTAATTCCTGAATTATTCCGAATGATTCTTGAATTGCATGGACATTCCCGGAATTCCTGGCACGCACCTCCTGGGTCCATGTCTGAATTGATTCCTGAATGATTCCTGAATTGATACCTGAATGGATTCCTGAATTGATTCCTGAATTATATATAGAGCGTGAAAAATCGAGTCCGAAGCTTTTTTTATCCCAATTCCTGAATTCATTCCTGAATTGATTCCTGAATTGATTCTTGAATGATTAATGCATCCCGGGCCGGCCCCCGCGTCGGCACCTGAACCGAGTCCGGCGCCGGCGCCAGCTCCAGCCGGCGCCGGAAAAATGAATTCCGAGGCGCGCCCGGGAAGCCTTCCGGGCCAATTCCGGCACCCGGGCCGGCGCTCGAGCCGGACGCCCGGGCCGGCGCCCGCGGGGCGGCGCCCGGCGCCGGCGCCGACTCCGGCCGGCGCCAGAAAAATGAATCCGAAGCCGTGCCGACAAAAGGCCACTCCAATACACATTTTTCTTTCGAGAATGCTGAATTTCTGGTTCTGGCGCCCGGGAAGCCTTCCGGGCCAATTCCGGCACCCGGGCCGGCGCTCGAGCCAGACCCCCAGGCTGGCGCCCGGGCCGGCGCGTGAGCCGAATCCGGCGCCGGCGCCGGCTCCGGCCGGCGCCAGAAAATTGAATTCCGAGGCCGTGCCCAAAAAGGCCACTCCAATAAACATTTTTCTTTCGAAAAAGCTGAATTTCTGCTCCCGGCGCCCGGGAGGGAGGCCTTCCGGGCCGATTCCGGCACCCGGGCGGGCGCTCGAGCCGGACGCCCAGGCCGGCGCTCGGGCCGGCGCCTGAGCCGAATCCGGCGCCGGCGCCGGCCGGAGCCGGCGCCGGAAATTGAATTC